TGGGGTGCTGGGGGACCCGGGCTTCGAGCGCTCGCTGCGGGCGCCTGGGTGCGCCGTCGGGGTCCGGGGGTGCCGGCGCGGAGCAGGAACCCCCCCCCCCAGCCCCCAGGTACCTCGGGGTCTCCGCTGGCCAGCGGAGTGGCTGCAGCTCAGTCTGCTCCTCCGCGCGAGGGTTGGGGCGGGGGGGGGGGGGGGAGGGCAGCGCAGGTGTGAAGGGTCACGTTTCCCCGCCCCAGGCTCCGGAGAACGTTTCCCAACCCCTCCAGGAAATGAGAAAACAAAACAAAACAAAACAAAAAAAAACCCTCCCCTTCATGCTTCAGGTTGGCGGATTTGTTTCTGCTATTGTGAGGGTTTGGGGGACGAAAAGCAAAACTTTCTACATAAGAATATGGCCGCACACAGTCCCGCACAGCGTCCCTTCTTGGATGCGTTTTAGAGAGAGAAAAAAAAAAAAAAAAAAAAAAAAAACCTGTCCCGCCTTCTGCACGGTCCAGGAGCGGAATAATGAAGCAAAGACTTTTATTTTATAAACCACTTGATCTTTGCTTGGGAAACTCCATTAATTGAATGGGTTTGCCTTTTTTTTGCCAGTCCCCTTTATCATTATTTATGGGCTTTAAATTGTTTAAAGTCCCCTCGGCGTTCAATTTACAAGTTTGGGGGCTTTTTTTGTTCTGCCTTTTGTCCCGGAGAAAGACATCGTGTTGGAAGTGCTTTGAAAAGTCAAACATGAGAGGTTGGCAATGAAAGGGGAGCGGGCGAGATCCCTTTTAATTCCGTCCTGTTGGTGAATGGCTCTTTTACATAATTGCAGGAGCTATTTCAAAGCCGGCCAAGGGCTGACTTCACTTAGAACCACATGGAGTCTATTTTGGGCTTTCAGATTTAAAAAAAAAAAAAGAAAAGAAAAAAAAAGCTGAATAAAATAGTTTAAAAAATGAGGCTTCAATGCTTTCTGCTACTTGCAAATTGGTGTGTCTGATGGAGAATTTTACACAAGCACCCCTTTGTGAGTGCGTCTTGGGCTGGGGGGGAGGCTGTTCTGGGTTAGCTGGGTGTGAATCCCAATTGCCCTTCCATAAATAAAACCCATCCCAAGCTATTTCCCAGCTATTGCCAGCAGCAAGAGCCGAGGCAATGACCGAATGATCAGGCCACTCAAAGTCCCTATAAATAAAAACAACTCGGTTACCTAAGAAACCAGCCTGGAGGGCTGGGCGAGGGCTGGGTGGCGGGCGGGCGCGCGGGCCGGCCCCATAGGCCCACGAGTTGCTCCGCACCCACCGAGACCAAAACCCGGGGCTCCCACGCCGCCCCCTCTCCACTCCCACCCGCGACCTCGCCCCTGGCGGCAGCACGGAAGCGCGCGGCTTGCGGTGCTCCCTCCTGCCAGCTAGGCTCGACAGGCTCACGCAGGTGTGTCGCGTGGATGTTCATGTATGTGTGCGGTCCATACTCCATTCGGCCTGCATACACCTGCAGGCCGCCGCAGACCAGGACAGCCCCAAAGCGTGGAGACAACTTAATTACCAGCCCTTTTACTGGCGTCTGAGAGGTTTCAAGTGGCTCAAAAATGATCCTGACACCAGCCCGGCACTCGCCAAGCAAAATGCCCAGGGGCTGGGCCAACTTCAACCCGGAGGAAAGTTGGGGGGGGGCGGGGGGGAAGTTCGGGGAAGTTAACCAGACTTGGAGGACCCAGATCTCGCGCTGGTGCGGTGGTGCGTCCTTCATTTTTCCTAACCTCAGGGAGGACAGAGGCCTCGGAGAGCGGAAGTTTGCAAAGATTTGCGCTGGGTAGTTTTCCCGCGCAGCCGGGGCCAGCTGAGGCTCCCGGGGCTCCGCGGTTGAGGGCGATGGGGAGCTAAGCAGGAAGGAATCCCAAGGCTAGATCAGCCGTGTATGTACCTGTCGCTGCTGCCCATATATCTCTCCGAGGAGCAGAGGGGGAAAAAACGCTGAAGGCTTTTATTATCCGCAGTCCCCACGCTCCGAACGCCGTGCAGGTAGCTGAGGTGCCCCCAATGACTCTTGTTAATCACTGCGAAACACAAGGATCCTTTTACGACGCCGAGCAGTCGTTTTCTAAGCAGTTAAGCTTTACATGAGAAAATATTACTGCACTGCATCCGAGAGAAAGCACACTAGTAAATAAAATTCATATTGATGAGAATTCTCTGAACTCACTAATAAAAGAAGATTAGTATGGTAACCCCGCAGTCAATACTTTGCATGGCAATTTATGGGTGCAAATAATAGGCCATCAAATTATTTCAAAGTGTAGCTATAACTCAACGGACCTAAATCTTCTTGCTCAACTTTAAATGTAGAATTGTCATCAAAAATAATCAAAGGGATTCCTGGCTTGAAGAGGGTAATCAGGCGACGGAAGTCCCTAGAACACTATTTTTCCTGTGAAATTGCAAAGTGGATGGCAGACCTGGCTGGATGAGATGAGTAACAGCCTGCAGGGGCATGAGGCACCAGGCAGGGAAGGACCCGGCTGTAGCCATGTAAATCAAACCAGGAGTCCAGGGGGTTTCCCTCGTATTGAAAAAACAAGTTTACCAGACCCGGACCTCTGTGACTGTAACTGTCTCATCATGAGAGGAAATATTTATTATACTCATAAAGAAAGCAGCCTTTTGCTCTTGGCTTCAGGTTTTGTTTTGTTTTGTTTTCTCTCTCTCTCTTTTCCTTTTCTTCTTTTGTAGGAGTAGGGAAAGAGAGGTAGAGCTTAGAGACCCCACAGATATCTCCATTCTGGAAGATCCTCGCAGGAATTCATTTCCCCCACACTGCCTCCGCCACCTCAGGGTCTGGGCTTCCAGCGAGTGGAGGCAACACAGGGAGCGTCCTAATGAATTCTTTTCAAACCTCCTGCCGCCCGAGCCATCCATTACTGCGGTCTGGAGTGGGGAACCGCGCTCCAGACATCTTTGTCCCGGTGGTGGTGGTGGTGGTGGTGGTTGTGTGTGTATGGGGTGGGGTGGGGGGGCGGTAGCGAGGGGGAGGGCGGGTGGCGGCTGGGCCAGGGAGTTTTCTCACCACCCTACAGGACCCTTCGGATGGGCAGGAGGTGCCCAGCCAGACTCCGTGGATGAGGAGGTGATTTGGGATTAAGACATCCATCCCCCAGGGGCCTTAGGGTGAGAGCTCTAGAGAAAGGAAGAGAAAGAAGAGCTTCAAAGAATCCGGTCGATAAATTCATAAAGATCGATTTATCTTTATCTCCCAATTAAACGTGCCTGTAAGTGATACATAACACACGTCCAACACCCATCACGGGCCAACTCCCCGACCACTAGCCCCTCCGCGTGACCTGATTTTTAATGACCGGTGTAACAATGCCCTCCGCTCCGCTCCTCCGGAGCCGGTACTTGAACATCTAGACCGGGGAAAGTTGGAGCCCGGGCCCGGGAGGCGCATGGAAGCTCCCGCGCGCGCTGGAAGCGCTTTGCATGGTCTGCGCTTGAGAGGAAATGATTCCATTTTTAAACGGAACATGAAAGCTGAGAGTTTTGGTTTTATCTTGAAAAAAGGGATGTAAACAAACATTCCTAGTTCCACGCCCTCCCCAACTCTCTTACTCCCAAATTCTGGGGTTTTACCATGATCCAGGCGGGAGAGACTTCTGGAGGGAATCGGCTCCATCCCACAAGGAGGCAAAGAGGAGCCGCGCGCCCTCGAGTCCTCGCACTGGAAACCGAGTGGCGGCGCCCGGGTGAGCGCTCCCTCCGTTCTCAACGTGCTTAATTAGCGCCTATTTACAAAACGGGGCTTTTATTTGAGCAAACATCATAAAGCTTTCATCAGGATAATCTCACGTTATACAATCGCGAGGCACAGTAACTCCCCCTTCCTCCCCCAGGATGGAGGAGATGAAGGACTCGCTTTATTATCATAATGATCGTGGCTGCTATTTTGGTGCGCAAGACGAAGTGTGTAAATAGGTGCGATGATTAAGATTGTCATGAAAAATGAGAAGGGATCGCTCACGGGAGGGCCCAGCTCCGGATGGGGGAACAGGCAGCCTTCCCGCCCCGGCGGGAGTGCAGGAGTGGGGGCGCAAGGAGCAGCCCCCAGGGTTCCCCAAGGCGAGCAGAGGCTGTCAGCTGCCGGGCAAACGCCCCAGGGGGGCAGATCTGAAGCAGCAGGACCATGCCCCCATATCCAGGAACCTCGCCGGGACCCCTAGAGCAGCAGCAGCCCCCAGAGCTATATAGCATGAGCCGAGAGTAGGTTTGTTCCAATGCAGCTATAAATGAAAACGCCCTCAGCTTAGCCGTGGCCGGCCCTCGTCCCGGAAGCTGCCCTTGAAGACGGCCTTGACCAGGCTGCCAGGCCGCGGGATTCGAGCCTTGAGGGTGCCAACTGCCCCCTTCAAGTTTGCGCGGAGCGACAGGCTCGGGCTCTCGGGCCCAGGCACTCCGCTGGTGCTGCCTGCAGCCCGCTGGCTGCCAGCCTCGGTGGAAGGGGAGTGGCCACACCGTCCCACGCCCCTCCGGGCGCAGCCAATGGGCGGCGGCGCTGGGCCCCACGTGACGCGAGCCCGGCTGGGCAGCAGGCAAAATGTGAATGAGAAAGAGGAGCGCGATTTAAAGGTGCTGGCGGCGCCCGCGGAAGACAAGTGCGCCAGCTTCGCGCGGCCGGCAACGGACAGCGAGACCGACAGACGGACCCACCGACGGGTGTGAGCCGGGGCGCAGGGCTGCGGTCGCGAAGCTGCGCGCGGGCTTCGACGGGCGAGCGGCGGCAGCGGCTCCGGCGAACCCTCGGGGCCCGGGCGCTCTCTTCGCTCCGGGACGCACGACCTCACCTCGCGTACCCCCCGCAACCGCGGGGCATGCAGCGGGTCCGGGACTGAGGGGCAGCGGCGTCTGCTCTCCGGATTCTGCTCTCGCGGCCCGACGGTGCTCCAGGCGCCCAGCGGGCTTCCAGGCGGTGGCGAGGCGCAGGGACTTCTCGCCTCTCGCCGGCCTCTCCCGAGCGCGTCTATGAGCGCAACGTTCCCACCGTCGCTGATGATGATGCAGCGCCCGCTGGGGAGCAGTACCGCCTTCAGCATAGACTCGCTGATCGGCAGCCCGCCGCAGCCCAGCCCCGGCCATTTCGTCTACACCGGCTACCCCATGTTCATGCCCTACCGGCCGGTGGTGCTGCCGCCGCCGCCGCCGCCGCCGCCCGCGCTGCCCCAGGCCGCGCTGCAGCCCGCGCTGCCGCCCGCGCACCCGCACCACCAGATCCCCAGCCTGCCCACCGGCTTCTGCTCCAGCCTGGCGCAGGGCATGGCGCTCACCTCCACGCTCATGGCCACGCTGCCCGGGGGGTTCTCCGCATCTCCCCAGCACCAGGAGGCGGCGGCGGCCGCCCGCAAGTTCGCTCCGCAGCCTCTGCCGGGCAGCGGCAACTTCGATAAGGCAGAGGCGCTGCAGGCCGACGCCGAGGACGGCAAGGGCTTCCTGGCCAAGGAGGGCTCGCTGCTCGCCTTCTCCGCGGCCGAGGCGGTGCAGGCGTCTCTGGGTAAGTCGGCGGCGCGCGCGACGCGGGCGCGGGGGGCGGGAAGAGGCGGGGGCGAGCCCGCTCCGGCTTCCCGCCGGGGTCGGAGGGTCGAGGCTAAGCCCCCCCCCCCACAACTACCCCCAGCCAAGAGCGGGAAGACGCGGCCCAGCGGAGCCGCGGGGACTCGGGGATGGGGAAGGGATGCATTTTAAAGCCACGCGACAAGCATGGTCTCCGGGTTGGGGGGTTGGCGGCATTTAGCTCCCCCAGGGCCAGCTGCTATATAGGGCGGCATATCTGTCTGGCGCTGTGTTTGACGAAGTCTTGCCCCCGACCTCCCCTCATTCTGCCCCGCTAGGTTTCAGCTTAAGGGAAGTCAGCTTGGCTCCGAGTCTCAACAGTGCTTGTGCCTAGGGACGCCCAAACCTACTGAACCCTTTCTGCGGGCTTGCTGTTTGCCTCCGACAACTGGGTTCCTGGAGGCCCTGCAGCCGCCTGTGTGTATTGGGGTGTCTGGTGGGGACTCTCCTTGGGCTACCAAACTTCCCTTTGACTAGCATTATGTTTCCCCAAAATGCATGGCGTGGGATCTACGCCTCCCTAAGTGCCCACCTTGGCTTCGATGAAATTGAAGTTCACAAAATTTTCACTGGGGTGGTGGGATCTTGAACTTCCCCTCAGCCCTCACCCGGCCCCACCATGGGGCACAAAGAGGAAGCTCTCTTGGGCCTCACTCGCCCTGTTACTCGGGCCTTAAGCTGCCAGAGGCTGGACAGTACCGAGGAGGCACGCAGGCCCTGAGTCCTTCGCTTGTCTGGTCTCAGCCTCTCTTTTGAGCTTTCTCACACCTTCCCGGCCTCTACCCCCACCACACACAAAAAAGGCCAGGAAATCACAATGTGTGATTATCATAGAAAGACCATTAGCCAAGGGGGGGAATGTCCCAATGACGGTGGGAAGAGAGAAAGGAAGAGGCCGGTGTGCGAAATGTAATAAAACCCCGTTTGGTTTTTGCTTTCAGCCGGGGCTGTCCGAGGGCAAGGGAAAGACGAGTCAAAGGTGGAAGACGACCCGAAGGGCAAGGAGGAGAGTTTCTCGCTGGAGAGCGATCTGGACTACAGCTCGGATGACAATCTGCCTGGCCAGGCGGCTCACAAGGAGGAAGACCCCGGCCACGCGCTGGAGGAGCCCCCGCCCAGTGGCGGCGCCTCGGGCAGCACCACGTCCACGGGCAAGAACCGGCGGCGGCGGACTGCCTTCACCAGTGAGCAGCTGCTGGAGCTGGAGAAGGAGTTCCACTGCAAAAAGTACCTGTCACTGACCGAGCGCTCGCAGATCGCCCACGCCCTCAAACTCAGCGAGGTGCAGGTGAAAATCTGGTTCCAGAACCGCAGGGCCAAGTGGAAACGCGTGAAGGCCGGCAACGCCAACTCCAAGACAGGGGAGCCCTCCCGGAACCCCAAGATCGTGGTCCCCATCCCCGTCCACGTCAGCAGGTTCGCGATCAGAAGTCAGCACCAGCAGCTGGAGCAGGCCCGGCCCTGAGGGCCCGGGGAGCACCAGGCGCCTGGCCTCTGCAGGAGCACCCACCCCAGGCCCAGCGCTGGAGGGATCCCAGGGTGGCCTGTGCCTCACGGCAAGCACCCCATCTGTGGACATCCCAAGTAAAGGGAGAGTCTGTTCGTCGCACAGGCTTCCAAGACTGCTTTCGAAGGGGAGACAGCTACTGCTGAAGACACACTAAATATTTATTATACTACCCTGCTTTGTACATAGATAATCTATATGGACTGGATCTCAGCTGCCGTATTTTGAAAGTTATATAGGACCAAAGCACCCAGTAATATGCTCCACTCACATTCCAGAAGAAAGCAAAACCTCTGCTGTAATCTGCCACCACCCATAGCAGCCACCTACCTGTCCCTACTTTTCCAAAGGTAAACATGACATGCAAGAACACACACCGGGGTTGGCACTTATTTTTGTTTCTGTGCTGGCTTTTTTTTTTCATTGCCCGAGAAGCAGGCGTTTGGGGGCGGTCTGGGAATTTGCTTTGCTTTGGTTCTGCCTGGCTTTCTTTCCCGGGGTCGCAAATCCTACCTGAGCCATGTCTGAAGCACGCCTGTCTCCATTGTGTTTAATTTATTTCAATGTAGCTTCTTTTCTTATAAGTTATGACATTTAAACAACCCCAAGTCTTGTGAATAATAAAAAGGAAAGAGAGGGGGTGGGACAAAAGGCCAATGGCTGGGTCTCCTGCGTGTGTCCAGATTTGACTGAGGGGGCTGGGAGCACCCACAGCGTGTGGCTGGCAGCTGGCCTGGGACCAGGATGGACAGACGTCCCCTGGCCAGTTCTGACTGGCTGGAAGTGAGCCACACGCGGTGTCTTACCGGGTTTTCAGTTGGAGCGAGTGCTCCAATTGGGCAAAACATTCAAGAAAACCAAAATTTCACTTTAGAAAATCTAACACCCGCCTGTTTGCACAGCCTGTTCAGTACCTAGGAGGCTGGCAGACTGGGGCCAGAGGAGGAGGTGGGCGGCCAGAGGAGGGAGAGCGAGTGACTGGGAGTACTGGGAGCTTTGCACAAACTCCTGATGTTCTAAGTCGGTTCTATCCAGGGAGGAAATGGGTTTCCTTGCAAAGATCCCCGTCCGGAAAAGAAGCGGTGTTCGTTGGCCCCGACCGGGCCCGAGCGCCCGTAAATCAGGTTCCAGCGTTATCTACCGGCCCCGGCCCCGGAGCAGAAACCCTGCCCGCCAAGCTGGTCCTATAGGCAGCGCTCCGCCTGCAGAAGGAGGCGGAGGCGGGCTTCGAGCGCCCTCGGCCCAGCACCTCCCTCCGGGCGGGGTCCGAGGGGGCGGGACCCGACCACCGCCCCACCCCGAGGGCGCTGGGGCAGACCTGAGGCACAAAGGGGGAAGGAGAGAGGAGCGCGGGCCGGTTGGGACTGGTTCGTGGGGCTACCTAAGAGCTGGCGGCCAGCAGGGCCCAGAGGGGCGTGCCTGCACCCCCAATCCCACCCCAGCCACCTCGGGTACTGGGCTGCCGGCTCTTTTCCGACCAGTTTCGAGCGTCCAGGCGCATTGGACCGGGACGGTGACCCAGGGGCGAGGGGAGCGGGTGAGCGCGGCGCCGGACCTGCAGCCCAGAGGGAAGAGGAGCCTCCGGAATGGAGGCAGGAGCGGGGTTCAAAGCGGGACCGCACAGCACACACCGAGGTCCTCGGCTCAAGAAGGGGAAACGGGTCGCCGTGGGTCAACACTAACACTGACTTAATTTATACTGCTTACAACACGCCATCTCCCCGCGGCAGAGGGGCATGGGCACCGAGGCTCCCCCCGAATTGAAGGCGCAAAGCGAAGGCCGGGCGCAACCGCGTCTCCGTCTCCCACGGCGTTTCCAAGATTCCCCGTGGTGGTGAACGGCTCAGGCTTGGGTTTAGAGCACAATAAAATGGACTGGCCAATCCTGGGGGGTGAAGGGGGGGCAGAGAACCACGAGGGCTCCTTGATGTCCCCCACCCAGCTCCCGGAGGCCGGGAGGTGGTCATTTCCTGCCCTGGAGCAAGATTGCCGAGGCCTGGTCCCTGAGCACACCCGCATAGCCCGTTGCATTCTCCCCTCCATCATATACCAGGCCTCCACTGGCCATACGGCTGCTTCCAAGGTGGAGACACCAGCCCCACTGGACCCCCCCCTCAAACCAGCCCTCCCCACCCTGCCCAGCCAGTCCCAGGCCAGATATGCATCCCCAGCCGAACTGTGCATGTGGCGCAGAGTTCCCCCTGTGGGACCTGGGGAGTGCCCCCATATGCGCTTCTGCCATGACAGGTGTAGCCGCTTCCCCACTCCAAAAGTCCTGGCCGGGGTGGGAGACACAAGGCTGTACACCTCTGAGGGAAAGTGAAGCTCCCTAGGAAGTGTGTGTGTGTGTGTGGGGGGGGGGCCTTCAGGGAGCCCAGCGGTCACCCTCCTTCCCCAGCTGCATGATTCTTGCCCTTTGAAAGCAGGTGGAGCAGAGGGCCAGGGGCTCCCGGCCCTCCTGCCTCCTCCCCACATCGCCCTCCTCCCAAATCCATGACCCCCGGGGTGCCCCGGAGAGCCCCCCAGCGAGGAGGCCAGGCCGAGAGACAGGCCAAGGGGAGGAAGATAAACAAGCCGCACTTGATGGCCGCTGTCATCATGGCCGTCATCATGGCTTTCATTTGGCTGCCTAATGAGTCACATCACAGGCAGAGAGAAAAATTGTCAATCGCCCAGGCCCTAATGAATTTTTTTGCAAATTGTAATCAAGCCAGGCCGTCTCAGCTGGCTGATTAATGAGACCCACGAGGCTCGGCCAGCACCTCAGCTTTTTATTCCATCCCGTCCTCCCTGCACTAAATTAACAGCAACTTGTCTGAGCTTCAAATTAACTCCCAATGATTAATTCTGATGGGGGGGCCTGAAGAATAGCTTGTTCTAATAGGCTCTGGCCCGAGATGCTGTTGGAAATTAATACACTTCCCCTTTGGCTGCCGGCTTTAATCCAAGGTTGGGTTTTGACATCACTATATTTGTTGTTACAATAAATTCCACTTACATCTGCAGATCAAATAATTACGCTTGGGCAGGCCATGGACCGGAGGCCCCCACTCCCACCTTGCACGAGGGCCCTCGGGGCTGCTCCCACCCATGTTGACCAATCCAAACAGGGTTCGAGCACCTCCCCCTCCAGTATACCCGCCCACCCCCAGGAACAGCTACTTGACCAGGCAACCCCCTACCCTAGTTCCCTTGGGAGCCAGACACACACACACACACACACACACACACACACACACACACACACACACACACCCTCGGCCCCATCCAGAGAAAGAGGGCACTTGGAAAACCAGCAGCCTCGTCTCCATGTTCCCCAGCAGGGCCCTCTTTTGATTAGTCTGAGGTGTCAAGCAACCTCCTCCCCCAGCTCCGAAGAGGTTGGGAGTGCCCCTTGGAGTGAGTTTTGGAGACTCAGTGCATTTTTCTGCTCTGACTTTGGCCTCCTAGTCTTTTTCGAGGATCTTTCTCGGGGCCTTTTCAGCTAAACGGAGTGGGTGGGGGCCCTCCCCACAGTGTTTACCTCGGAAGACCGTCGGATTGGAATCTGGTTGCGTGCAGGCTGCAGGCTGCCCCACTCCGTGTGTGGCTGACATGAGCACCTGCATTCCACGGTGCCCTTTCTCGCCAGGTCAGTGCCCCCCTCCGTCCTGCGTCTGTTTGTTCTGGTTTAATTAGCTTAATCATTTCAGCTGTGTAGGGCAGGCCTAGCAGAGGGGCTGGCCGGTGGCTGCTCCCTCCAGCCCCGGACAATCCCAAACGAAGCTGCACCAACCCCGTTGGCAGGGGATTCCAGATGTGCAGGAAGCCAGAAGGGACACTCTGTCGGCCTCGAACTGCCTGGTCAGCGCCTGGTTCTGGCTGTGGGACCTTCCCAGCTCCTTGCTGTGGTTGGAAGTGACTGGCAGGTGAGGTCCTGCCCAGACTCATCAGCATCCTCTCTTCTCACTTGTGGGAGACTTGGGTGTTCACGCAGCCAGCAGAATGGCCTCCTTGGGTGTTCACGCAGCCAGCAGAATGGCTCCTATGCATGTGCCTCTATTTCTGTCCCCGGAGGCCCTGGGCCTACTTTGACCCTCTGATGTGCCAGGACCTCCTTCCCCCAAGCTTGGCGATGGGGCTCTGGGTTACCTGAGCTCTGGGATTTAGGGAGGAACCTCGGTCCCCATGAAGGGAGGTGCCATTCATCTTCATTTCGGGCCCTTATGGTACAAACTGGAGAAATATGATCTTTGTAACTGCACATGAATGCAAATCACGCCATCTGAGTAATAAAGCACCTGAAACCTTGACACACAAAAGCAACACCATATGTATGAAGACAACCTGCATACATTATAAATTACATCATAAAAAATGATTGCCTACTTGAGCAGTTCAGAAGTAGCTTTGGGGAAAGGTCAGGGTGTGGGCCTGAGGCCAGGGAAACTGGGCTGAGTATCTGAGGCACTGCGGCACAGGGAGCTCGGTGCCTCTCCAGGCTGCTGCCGTCAAGTCCCAATCCGGGGATTGGGACCCTCCTACCCCAGACCGTGAGAGGAACCCCTGCACCTGGCTCTCCCGTCAGTCAGTGTGAGTCAGCTGCAAAGCCACTCAGATCTCCAGCTCCTACCAGCTGCCCCTGGGAGTGCATCCCTTCTCAGGGAGCTGCTCTGTAAGGGGTGTGGTCTGCGTGGAGATGGGCGTGTGAGTGTGTGAGCGTGTTGGTATGTGCGCCCATCTCCTCTTGCTTGGCCCGGTTTCTCTGCTTTCCTAGACACCACACACCCAAAGGTCCGACCCCCCTGGAGGAACCAGAAAACCCTGACCCCAGGTGCCCAGCAGAGGGGAGTGCCCCTGTGCATGTGAATCTGCACCTTTGAGCTTCCTGGGCTCTGGCACTGCTCCTTCCCCGACAGGAATCCTATCCCCAGCCCTGGGCAAGTGCCTCTGAGCTCTACCCCATTCCTATCCCCTGC